ACACAATATTAGATTTTTTTGTGTTTCCCTTCCTTGCAATGTCAACGTATTTCCCCCTGACATTCTAGCTCTTGAGTCATGTTTTGCCTGTTTTGCATTGTTTAAATATCTGCTGCACGGAACGAACCATTGTAATACAGGATATAGTAGTTGTGATATTACAGCATGCTTTAAACTAAAAGAACGCATCAATATGAACTTTTAATGGGTTAAAATTCAACTACTTTATCTCTATCATAGACTGAAGTCGTCATAGAAGTAAAAGAGTAGTGATAGGCCTTTTATTTTCTCTCGGAAGTTGTTATTAAATGGAATTAAATTAGTTCCTTATAAATTTCTGTAATGCACTAATGGAGTTAAAGAGTATAATTCGAACGAGGTGCATGCAGCGTATGTATAGGGTAAATCTGAGATATAAGAACAAAATTTTTGTTTCAGATCCGCCCATTGTATCTGTGACCCCAGAGAATGTGACAGTCAACGAGAGCACAGACATCTTCTTGTTCTGTTCCTACGAAGCGAATCCGAACACTCTTGAAAGCGTCAGTTGGTGAGTAGCCCCTCTATTATACTTTTAAGACATGTGATTAGTCTGTTCCAAAAATTCTAAAATCATTATTTTCTATAAGGTTATAGAGGCAGATCATCTATTGGAAAGAACATTCGCGTTAACAGAGTTTTGTTTATTGTTTCCAATTTCTGACGTTTCTGTACGTCATTTGGTATCGTCTAGACAGAAAAATCCTGTCTGTATGTCCCAGTGTCGCATGTTTTAACTCGAAAGATTGTCAAATCTTAATGATAATTTATCTAACGTACTCTTAAGAAACACTGATAGAACATTATTATGGGCTGTCTCTTTATTTGCGCGCTTAAAATAATTTCAGTTCTATATTTGCCTTGTTAAACAATAACGAAAATTATTTTAGAGGTAAATATTTATTCCGCTTACTTATCTCGTATTTGGTCATTTCTGGTAAAACTTGCTTTGAATGTGAGTAACGCCGGACGCTGTCCGATTCATTCTTGCTACGAGAAGTACGACTTCCTGAAAAATATATACATATTTCATTATTTGAAGGCAATAAGAAGAAATGGTTATGCTCAAAATAAATTCTGTGAATCTGAAAGTATCTTCTCAACGACTTTCAGGTTTTTTAAAACACATTTAACATGAAGAATGTTACAATAATTACAAGTCTGACATGCTTGTCCACAGTAAGGTTGTCATCGAGGTTTCCATTTGACCTTGATTATATATATATATAACTGATCTTCGATTTCAGATGGTTACATTTTTGTTTGTTTTTGTTACATTTCCAATTCTACTCGTTTGGCTTGGAGTTGTAGAGAAATTTCTCTAGGGGTGATTTAAGATGTCGAAAGATAAGATCAGAGCCTGTTTACAGTAAATCCCAAGCATTTGCCTAGAGCGACTAAGGAACACTACGCGATTTGCGTCAGGACAGCCAGTCATCGGCACGAATTTCGAACTGGATAACTTCCCAATACGAAGCAGGGCGCGGACCACTTAACCGCGAAATTTGATGTAAGTTATGTAAAATTTAATTCAAGCATTCGAATGTTATCACGGTCGATTTAAGCGCTACTTTTTCCTTTAAAACCGATTACACATTGCCGTGTTATATGTTCGAAAACTCTAGAAAACCTTTGCTCGAAAGATCGTGTTTCTAATTGAACTGCCTGTGCAGCCGACCCACTCGTGTGAAAGTTTTGCCCAATCTGTTTCCTCTTATGGCATTGTCCAGATCATTGCACTATAATCCAAGTTTAATGCGAGTTTCCAAACTGACATCAATTCTGCTACTGAATCTAATCCACAGAACCAAAGGGATTTTTCCAGTGGAATGCAATTGAATTTCAAATTGGAACCTTATGGTGCAGATCCTATATGAACAAGGTATTGAAAGAATGGTTTTATAAGCGTTTCTAATCCGCAGGTTTAATTGTCCTTGTCTTTCTGCAAGGGAAAGTGCACAGAACAAAGACAATTTAGAAAAATAAACTTTATGATTTGTGTACTTCTCTCGTTTCACGCAATATTAAAATATAGCAAATGGAGAGTCCTCAAAGTTCTGTGTGATAGTATTCATTTTATGAGTTTGTGTTATCAAATTTAAAGATAGTTAAAAATATGCATGCAGACCCTATAAATGCATGTCGCGGTAAACTAAAAACTATGAATATACATAGCTCTAATTATGAAGTCCATTAATATTCAGATTAACTCAACAAGGTGTATAATTGAAATAGCATCAGCGTTTGACCGTGTGGTATCCGTCAATCGCTTTTAAACCTTTTCCGTATGAACTTTCAGTGCACTGAGTTTGCACTAGACCCTTTAAACAGTGAATTAACTGCCATTTGGTCACTTCAGTTCTGTTCATGATCAAATTGTAACAACGTAGCAAGTAAGTGGAGAATTTTATCAAAACAATTTGTGAGTGCTGTTTGCCTGAAACATATGTAAATATTTATACTAATTTGGACAATTCTTCAGAGCGTTTGTTGACCTGAGTATTTATTTATGATGACGCAACTTCCGTATAATTATTATTTGTTTTGTTTTGAAGCCAGTATAATTTAATGTTTTGCAGAACCTTTAGTTACATAAAGAGACTTCAGCAACGTTAATATTGTTGTTATTAATGCATAGTTCCTGCCAGAATTCCTACATAAATTTAAGCGTTTAAAGAAAAGCAGTTTTCGGAGTGTTTGCCGTGAAACTATTTTATTTTCAATACTCATTTTTGGGTCTAGCGGTTAGAACGCTGGCCTTATAATCCTGGGGTCTCGGGTTCGATTCCCGGCGGTGCCCGAATTTATAACTTGTGTTGGGCAAGGCCGTGGTCTAGGCAACACGGAGTTTTCCTCCGTGGCATCCCAACAATTACTCCATTCACACACAGAAGAAGGCAATGGCAAACCACTTCTGGATCATCTGCCAAGAACGTATATGAACAGGTCCCAGTCCGAGAAAAGGATGGAAGGATCCTGTTCATATGGACCTGTCATCAGACAGAACACCAAATAATAATAATAATAACTCATTTTTGGAAGAGAAAGTGTTGTGGGGATGTGCGTTTGTTCTCTTAGAGAAGCATCAGCTTCTAAGGCTAGGATTTAGTGTTACAAGTTTGCATAATAGATGTTAAGACTGTCACTACCTATCCTGTTGTATGTACGTACCTTTAAGTTTGCTTTTTCAGATTTGTGAGACATCTGTATAGTCTACTTGATATATTGTAGATGTAAATTAATCAACAGACATTGTTGCATACGAGGAAAATATAGGTTGTATTATCCCATGTTAAGTTCTTCCAATGTTGAAAGGGGCATTAGCGAGTGATTAAAAGGATCGCGTTTCAGCCTGAATGCATTGATAGCTGCCCGATACAAATTAATGCACACAATATAACGGAAGTGTCTAAAGGGAGTTGGATATCACAACTATATGTACACATCACCCGCTATTTTATTGTGACCATATGCACGGACTGATAGATGTTGACACAATCTGTACATATGTTTTAGAGTAGTCCGTCACGGCAAACTTTGCCGCTGGTGCAGAGCTGCGTTGTACTGAAAATAAACAAAATCTACATACCGCATTAATTATTAGACCTATACCTCTCTCTCACTCTCACTCTCTCACACACGTTCTCGAATGAAGTACATGTTCAAGTGACCGCAAATGTCAGTGCGTAACCAACATGAACGCAGGTTTATGTCATAAATAGGATATTTGACGAAATATTACTTACTGCAATGGACTTCGGTTCATTATTCATTGTAGTACTTGAATTTCGCTTCATTTCAAATAACAATAGACACGTTGTAGGATAATCAGGGAATATGTGCTCCACTCTGAGCTAGCTTAGTGCTGTTCAGGATCAAAGCGTGGTGATGTTTATCCTACCGAAAGTGGGATCTTAGTTAACTCTGGGCGAAAACAGTTATACATTAAATTTCAAAAGATATCTAAACAGTGGTTGTCACTCCCCAAATTATTAATCAGTATTTCGTCTGTGTTGTATAATATCTTTTCATCAGAATTTTAAGTGTGAGGTATATATGTCAATATTTATTAACAGATATAGATTTATATTATGCTTGAATTTGTAAA